CTACATGTGTGGTGTTTTCCCCTCAAAGGCACTAGTTGTTCCCATTGACAGCACACCACTCCTGTCTCGGTTACTTTTCTGTTTCTGTGAAGAGAAAGCGAGACCAAGGCAAGCTATAAAGAACACATCTAATTGTGAACTTGTGCACTGTTTCAGAGGGTAAGTTTGTGGCCATCATGATAGGGAGAGTGGCAGCAGGTAGAAAGAGAGGGAGAACTAACTGTAGAATGGCATGAAGCCAATTTACAGTGGCATACTTCTTCCAGCAAGGCCACACCTCCTAATCCTTACCAAATAGTTCCACCATCTGACACCCAAGAATTCAAATATAAGAGCCTATGGGCACATCTACCAAAGGGCAGATCACAGTCCTGGCCTAAGGAATTCTGCTGCTCTAGGATGCTCTGTCTCCAGCAAGGGGCTCTTGGTCTAGTTTTTGCTTCCTTGCTCCCTCTAGGGCTTTGTCCTCCTGCCCAAGACTGAGTGTGACATTCGGGAGGTGGAGTTTGCCCGATGCCTCCGGCTACGGCAGACTTCCTTGGAGCCTGTTGCTTTCCGGCTGCCCCGAGTCAGGGTGAGTCTGGGTCAAAAACTCAGTCTCCTGTTTTTGTGGCTGGCCAGGGGCCCAGAAACTTAGGTTCTTATCTGTCCTTCCATGTAAACCTCCCTGCTGTCTACTTCTTAGGAACATCCGCCTTCATAGTCTACTGAAATTCTGCAAAGCATGTGAATGCCGGTGTGGGGAGGGCCAGGTCTCACAACTTGTGTGTCCTGGGCCCCTGGTCTGTGTCTCAGCCTCCCCCCCTCCCCTTCTGCAGAAAGAGTTCTTCCAGGATGATGTGTTCCCGGACACAGCTGTGAGCTGGGAGCCAGTACTCAGTGCCAAAGCCTGGCTAGGGGGTGCTAATGGACAGCCCCAGCTACTGAGTTTGCAGCCCCCTGGCATGACCCCAGGTACTGTAAGGACTAAATGGCGAGAAAAGAAGGGAGGGAGACCTGGATAGTGGTGGAAGGAAGGAACGGAAGGTCCAAATACAATCCTTCATTCCTGCTGCCGTATTGATACCTCTGGCTTTCCTAAGGATGCTGGACATGTCTCCAGACCCAGTGTCCGAACCCCTGCAGGGCAAGTTCTGTGCCCTGTGTTTTATCCTAGCACACATGTATACTTGTATACACATACATAACACACATACAAACACACATACATGCATGAGTTATATATATACCCTGGTGCTTTGGGCAGGCCTGGTGACCAGGGGCTTTAATACTTGTTAATGCCATTTCTTTGATCTCTGCCACAGAATCACTTGGGGGGAGGGGTGATTCTAAACAGGATCAACCTTCTTTGATGCCTGTCCTTGCTTCACCCAGTGAGCCAAGCCCCCCGTGAGGCCCCTGCCCGAAGAGCCCCATCCTCGGCACAGTACTTGGAAGAGAAGTCTGACCAACAAAAGAAGGAAGAGGTGGGCCTTACCGAGAGGGTTGGCTATGCAGTGCAGACGGTGTCCTCCATGTGCTTGGTTATCCGCCAGGTCACCAACCCAGATGGCAGGACAAACCATGTGTCACACTTGTTTCCACACCAGACATTGGGAAGGGGCCACACCGAGCGGCATTTTGCTGTCTCCAGGGCACAGGAAGCCAGGGAGGGCAGCAAGAGACACACATTCTAGCCATCCCTAACCCAGCCTAAGTTAAAGATTGGAGAGCTAAGCTCATGGTGAGCCTACTGTACATTTGAGCCTTTGAGGCAGTACACGGAGACAGCGGTTCCTGTGTCAGCTATCACACGCTAGTCTCTTGCCTCTGACTCCGTTTTACGGTGTTTTGCAATGAAAACCCATCAGCAGCTTAATAGAGTTCTAACTGAAATGGCACTGCTGGGGTTAAAACTGGGATTTTAAGTTATTGAAGTAAGAGAGTCACTTCTTTCAGTGTCTCTCGTATCCGCTTTCACAGCTACTGAATGCCATGGTGGCAAAGCTGGGGAACAGAGAAGACCCATTGCCCCAGGACTCCTTTGAAGGGGTGGATGAAGATGAATGGGTGAGTGACAATTGGATCCTGCCCCCTTAGCCAACAGCACTGTTCCTCCTATGAATACTGTGGCATGTACCCTCACTTCCCAGGCCCTCTTAGCCACTTCCTGGTTTCTCACCCCAGGACTAGCCTGCACACCAGGCACCCCTAGCCTCAGCTGCCACTGCCATACCTTAGAACCACCTGCGGCCCCTCCACATCTTACATCTCTGCAAACTGGACAAAGCTGTTCTGGCCCTAGCAGACCCATCCAGCCCAGAAGCCCTGGGTTTCCTGCAGGCCTCAGGTACTTCCACTGCTGCTGGGCCCAGTACAACTCCGAGCACTGTCTGCTCCTCTGCCCGCTGGGGCCAGCTGTTTACCTTCAGCTGCCCGTTAGCATGTGGCACCAGTGGGTGGGAGGTGGATGTCGGTAGCATGTCTGGGCCAGCTCTGGATGCTGTGTATCCCCTCGTCTTCCTGCTGGTTTCATCTAACATCTTCAGTTTCTACATGCCAACCGTCTTGCCTACTGCACCAGCTCCAGCTCCAGTCATGGACACTGGGGGGCTGGTCCCCCACCAGGCTGTTGGGAGCAGCTTCCTCCTCTGAGGCCTAGGACCATTTGCCCTGCTTCCCCTGGCTTGAGGTCAGGAGAAAGGGCCTCATGGAGCTAACAGCCTCATCACAGTGGTGTGAACCCCCAGGACAACCAGCCTGTACATGCTCTGGATGTTTTCAGCAATTAAATTTTTCTAAGCTGGCTGCCTTTTGTGCTGATCTGCTCTCTGGGAATCTAGAAAGAAGGAGACAGGCATATGAGTGAGAGAGCTTTGGTTCTGGCTCCTCTTCATACTAGTTTTACTTTGTTCCGTTTACTTGTAATAAACAGAAGAGATGGAGTTCAGCTGACCTATAGCACAACAAATGTGCTAGGAAACCAGACAGTGCATAGGAAAGCAGAATGAGGAAAAATTGAAAGGAACCGACTTGGATGCAGGGGCAAGCAGGTGTCAGGGCCCAAGGAGATGCTTATGTTCTTTGAAAATGCAAAGATCTGAAGGAGCCAAGAGCAAGCAAAAGGAAGTTAAGCAGTGTGCCCAGGGAAGAGAGAATTTGGAGCGCTAGAGGAAAGGAAGGAAGGGTGGGCAGTGGTCTAGAGCAGAGGTTCTCAATATGTGGGCCATGACCCCTTTGGGGGGTCAAGTGACCCTTTCATAAGTCGTGTAAGACCATCAGAAAACACAGATACTTACATTATGATATTTTGCTATGACTTTATGATATTAAAAATGAGTTGTGAAGTAGTAATAAAAATAATTTTGTGGTTGGGGGTCACCACAACATGAGGATCTGTATTAAAGAGCCACAGCATTAGGAAAATTGAGAACTACTGGTCTAGAGCAATCTAACTTAAATCCATTCACCAAACATTTATAAGTGTCCATTGCATGCCTTCCAGGTCCAGATAGCAGAGAGTAAAGACATAAATGTCCTGCCCACTGGGAGTTGAGTGAGAAGGCATAAATAAATAATAAAGGCAAAAATACGTCATAGAGCAGTGTTTCTCAATCTTCCTAATGCTGCGACCTTTACATACAGTTCCATGTGTTGTGGTGACCCCCCCCCACCATGAAATTATTTTTGTTGCTACCTCATAACTGTAATTTTGCTACTGTTATGAATCTCAATGTAAATTTTTTGGAGATAGAAGTTAGCCAAAGGAATTGAGACCCACAGGTTGAGAGCTGTTATCAGACGACGAGAACATCATAAAGAGAAAGAAAAAAAGAGAACAATTGGTGCATGAAGGGATAAGCTGGTGACAAAAGCCCACAGTTCAGATGCTGAATCTACGGACTGCCCAGAACAAACACATAGACACAAACTGCAAATGAGTACCTTCCAGAGTAGGGACATGACTGTTGGGTAAAAATGTTCTGAACTAGATGGTGATGTGATGGTGGCAGAACTGAACTGTGCACTCCAAAAGGTGAAACTGTCATTTGCTGTGTGGATTATGAGTGTCTTTTTGTTTGTTTGGTTGGTTGGTTTTCGATACACGTTTTCTCTGTGTAGCCTTGGCTACCTTGGACTCGATTTGCAGACCAGGCTGGCTTTGAACTCCGAGATCTACCTGCCTCTGCCTCCCTGAATACTGGGATTGCAGGCATGGACCACCACTCCAGGCAATTATGGTGTCTTGATAAAACTGCTACAAACAAACGTATAGACACTGAGACCAGAGAAGGTCTTATGAGGACTTGAAGAGAACCCTTTGCAAGACAAGCATAGAAGCTGAACTAGAAACCAAACCTGACATGATCATCTTGAACATAAAAATTTCAGAACCAGTTGGGCAGCCATGGTGCACACCTCTAATCCTAGGCAGAGGAAGGTGGATCTCTGTGAGTTGAAGGCCAGGCTAGTCTACATAGTAAGTTCCAGGTCAGCCAGGGCCACACAGAGATACTCTGTCTCAAAGAACAAAACAAAACAAAAAAAACAGAACCATCAGAAAATAAGTATCTGTTGTTTAAAGCACACCTTAAACAGGGTGTTTAAAAATCAGGGTGGTGGGCATATCAGTGTAGAGGGGAACTTGGTGGGCCTCACCGAAAAAAATGGCATTAGATTACAGACCTGGGTGCAAATGAGCCCCTCCGTGTCTAGCAAGGAGCTTCACAAGACAGAGGAATCTGGAATAAAACCTATTTTGATATACCTAGCTTTCTTAAATAGTACAGGGAATTTGACATCCAGCCCTTTATTACTTTAGCTTGTTTCATGTAATGGCGTCTTCCTAAATATTTTGGAAAAATAAGGGAAGAAACAACAACTTGGTGCACGAGTCCCAAGAACACCAAACTGCACCCAGTCTAGGGCCGCCCAAAGCCCGCCCAGGCTCTGACCCCGAGGCCCCGCCCACATCACTGTGCCGCGAGCCACGCCCCAGGAAGTGCGTCGCCTCCTTGCGCACGCGCTCTTCGGTCTCCCTTGACCTCTGACCCACGAGCAGCCCAGGAGCTGGCCCGGGGTCGGGAAACGACTCCCGGTGCCCTAAGGTGGAGCGGTCGCCATGGTGAGATCCGGATTGGGGTGTTCGGGAAGGGAGGCAGAGTCGGAGTCAGGTGGCGGGCCCGGCCCGGAGGCCGCGAGCCGCCAGCGTACCCCACTGGAAGCAGGGTGTGTGGCGTGGTACCGGGTCGCCGGCGCCCTGGCGGCTCTGGCCGTGGGCAGGGTCACCCGAGGCCCGGTAGCCTGAAAGCTCTCGGCCAAGGCCGCGTAGCCTGACTCGGCGTGCGCGAGCCTCTGTGGGCAGTGGAAGGGGGTGATTTTTTTGGGCGGGCTGCTTCCCGAGTGGCAGGACTCGGCGATGTCGGTGGTGTGGCTAGGTTTTTATCCGCGTTTGACAGCTGGCTCGTCCATGGAAGAGGTAGACCTAGAAGCCTGAACCTCTGTGGCATACCATTGACGCCTAGAATTTGCCTGCAGGTTCTCAAGATGTGCCCCTCAAGGCGATTGGTTGAGGGCGCCTATTTATTTATCTGTTTGAGAGACAAGGTATCACTATGTGTGTAGCCGTGGCTGGCCTGGAACGCCCTGTGTAATAGACCTGGGTGGCTTTAAACTCACTGAGATTCATTTGTCTCTGCTTCCGACTCCCCAGTGCTGGCATTAAAGGTGTGCAAAACACCAAACCTGGCTGGAGAGCCTCTTCGTTAATAATGGGAACATAGCAGTCCACTCACAGTTACGATGCCTGGGGCTGAGGCTTTACGTAGACTGTCATTTAATCCTTCTCAGCCGTCCCCATTTTTACGCTGAAGGGATCTGGAGCTCAGAGAATTTTCCAGGCTCGTCTTTCCTGCAAGAGTCATTGGCTAGCTTTGGCCTCAGCTTTGTGCATGATCTGAGACTACACATTTGCCGCTGTATAATTCCTGCTTTCTAATTAGGCCATTTAGTGAGGACCTGATTTGATTCCTCACAGACTTCTCCCGGCTGGTCATGGTAGTGCACACTTGTAAACTTGTACACTTGGGAGGCTGAGGCAGGAAGATAGGGAGGTCAGGAGTTCCAGGGCAGCCTGTGCACTTTAGTAAAGAGGGCTACGGGTATAGCTCAGTGTTGTAATGCTTGCCCACCACAGGGGAGGCCTTAGATTCAATCCTCAGTACTACCCCCAAGAGGAAAAGAAAGAACTGTTGGAAGTTATAAGTGGGAGGAGCCAGAGATTTTCACCTGGAAGTCAAATTATGGCATAGTTTGCCAAGGATTTGCCAACACTCTAAGGGTGTTGGAAGTTTTTTGTTTGGGACATTGTCTTGCTCTGTAACTCATGCTGGTCTCAAACTCTAGAGATGCCCCTGCCTCAGCCTCCCTAGCGCTGAGTAGAGGTGTGCGCCGCCACCATGCCTAGATACAGTCCTGACAGTATCTAAATAGGAAGGAGGACATTTACAGTGAAGGAGCTCAGAGCAGTGTGAAGAGCATGAGCTTCTCCAAGTGAAGGGTGCAGCTGTGGTGGGGGGAAGGTAGGGAGAGAAAATCTGGAGAACTAGGTTGAGGTCAGAGGTGGGGGATATCAACGCCAGGCTGAAGGTGAACTGAATTTGTAGACAGCAGTGGAGTGCTGTGTAAGAACTGGGCGACCGCGGCGTGGAAGGCCTGTGGAGACAGCCTGCTGAATGGAGTGCATAAGCCTGCAGCTTTGGCCAGAGATAGCTGAGAGGGACTGATTAAAGCATTGGTTCATGGACAATCACGCTCATTCAAATATGTATTGGGCAGCTGTTGTGCAGAGTACTAACACTGTCATAGATGCCACTGTGTAGCCCTGACCTTCCTCCTGCCTAGCTGTGACACTACCTGTAGTAACTGTTTGCAGGGCCCTAGTGACATATCCCGCGTTCCTTCCTGCTGTCAGTCTGATTTACACTCAGGGCCTGCCACTGTATTGGAAGAACACTGTATGCAGACCTGAAAGCTGGGCCCCTCCTGATGCACTTCCACAACTTAAGCATCATTTTTGGTACCCTGACCACAAACCTTGTCAGAGGTCATTTGTGCCATATTGCGTCTCAGTTGGGAAAAGTAATGTGCTGCTGACGGCCGGTTTCAGGGACGGAGTCCTGTGGCTGTGACTCCTGCCCTCAGCGTGGCCTGAGATTGCCCACTACATGAGCTGTCTTGTTCTTGGCCTGGGATCTTGAAGCCTGTCAGTTAGTTCGTTGTTTGGGGGCCTACTTGATGGTGGCTGTTTGAATACCTTTGGAGTGGGCTATAGGTGGGAGCTCTGTACCCCAGAAATCTCTAGCGGTGACTACCAGACCATTTAACACCAAGCAGGATCTGGTCTGGGAGCAAAGCCAGCTGCTGAGCTCTGATTCTAGAACCCTGCTGTCTGTCCACTTGATTTTGTATTCATTGCCTCACACCCTCCTGTAGGGAATACATTCTCTCTCCATTTTGCAGTTTAGAATGTGGTTCAGAAAAGTTGAGTAATTTGTCCAAGGCTACAAAGCTAGTGAGAAACAAAGACAGGATTCTAGTGGAGGTCAGCCTCATTCTTGCTCCTTTCCCTTGCTTGCTTCATAGCTCCTAGAAGACCGTTTTGTAGATTTACCTCTGAGGGGCACCAAAGGGCCTGACTGGAAGAAACTGTGTTTTTGTTTCATTTTGTTTTTGTTTGTTTTATTCTGTTTTAACAAACAGAATATATAACCCCAGTTAGCCTGGAATTTACTTTGTAGACCAAGGTAACCTGAACATGTGGTTATCCTCCTGCCTCTGCCTCCAGAATCCTGGGGTTAAGGCATGAGCCACCAGGATTGCACTGCCTGGCCACTGACAAATTTTTATAGAAACAGAATAATGATACATAGAAACCAATACTTGTTGATCACTTGCTGTGTCATTTAGGCTCCAAGCCAGACATCATCTCACTGTCTGACAGCTATGTTGTCCACATTTGTGTTGTCAGGAAACTGAGGTCCATAAGAGTTGAGAATTTGACCAGAGTCAGAAAGCTGGGGGATGGGCATAGGAGATAATTCCAAAGCTGGCCTGCAAAAATGCTATGTCACTCTGCCTCCCCCTGGGAACAGCTCTGCAAAAAAAGAGTGGCTCTGTCTGCAAACCCCAGGTGTCTGGTGAACAGTGCAGGCCAGTTCTGCCTTCCCTATTAGCTTCTAGGCCTCTTGGCTAAAATCAAGGGCATCCTGCCTTCCCTGCAGCCATTGTGCTCTAGATGCTGGTACAGCAGGCCACTTGCTTCTTTAGCTTCAAGTGTGCAGGGGAGGGTGGAGTTCTCCAGTTATAGCCTCATAGCCTCAGTTCTGTTTGGTTTGATTTTTTTTTTGTTTGTTTGTTTTGTTTTGTTTTTCTACATAGAAACCTTTCTGGGTTTCTGTGTAGCTCAGGCCATCCTAGAACTTGCTCTGCAGACCAGAGACTGTCCTTGAACTCAGAGCTACTTGCCTTTGCCTCCAGAGTGCTGGCAATAAAGGCATCCACTGTCATGCTGGCCAGCCTCAGTTCTTTTTTTAATTGTTTTTGTTTTGGTTTGGTTTTGGAGACAGGTTTCTCTGTAGCCCTGGCTGTCCTGGAGTTCACTCTGTAGACCAGGCTGGCCTCATACTCATGGAGATTCCTCTTGCCTCTGTCTCCTAAGTGCTGGGATCAAAGGCAGCACTCTGCAGCCTCAGTTCTTAACATCCATTATTAAGGAGTAGTCATGACCTTTTCAGAAAAGTACATCATTCCTTCCAAGGCCATGTGATAGGTGTGTGGCAACAGAGAGGCAGGCTTTCTGTGTGAACTGAGATCTCCTGAGGGGTGTCCTAGGCCAAGGGAACCATATAGGAGCTGAATTCTATCTCAGAGCTTTCTGTCTTACTTGGCAGTCTTTGGCCGTCTTTGATCGCAAGAGATTCTCCTTTGGGCCATGCTTTCTGGTATGAAAGCTGCGTTTTGTTTTTTTTTTTTTTTTGTTTTGTTTTGTTTTGTTTTTTATAAATACCATTCTGTTATGCTGTTGTGAGGCTTCTTCATTTCCCTAATGACCCACCATTCTATCTGCTTGCTAGGGACAGGCAGGGCCTTGAAGCCAGAAAGGCCAGTTCTAGAGTCTGAGTTCCTGATGCTATCATCTTCCTTTGGGAGTAAGGTGCTATGGTTAATAGGGCTCCAACTTTCCCACCTCCTCCCCCTAGCACCACTAAACCTCTTAAATTCTTGGGATTAAATGGCACAGGCACTAGGATGTTTGACACAGTACCTGGTACCAGGCACAGCCAATACTTGCTGACTGAGAAAACTAACCACAGAAAGTATAAGGAAGAAAGGTCCAATCTTCTAGCTGTACCACTTGAGCACAAGCTTGCAGTGAGCATTTTTTTTTTTTTTTTCTTTTTCTTTTTTGAGACAGGCTCTCTGTATAGCCTTGGCTGTCCTGGACTCACTTTGTAGATGAGGCCAGCCTCAAACTCACAGCGACCTACTTGCCTCTGCCTCCCAGAACTCTGGGGTTACAGGTGCATGCCACTGCACCTGTTGGGGGTTAGCCCTTTTTTTTTTTTTTTTTTAAAGAGTCCTCTGCATGCCCCTTCATATCACTTCACAAACGTGGGACCCAGTTTATGCATGCTGTCTATACACCATTTCTGTTTCAGGGTAGACTCTTAATATTTCTCCATTAATCCACCCTTGGTCTGTTTTTTCCAACCCTAGGATGCTCCCAGGGTGTCTGTCTAATCTCAGACTTACACCCTTCACTTGTGGCTCACTGTCATGGTTCCGCCTGCACTTTAGGACCCAATCTAGGAAAAATATTTTCTTACCCCCAGAACCTCCACCCCATTCCTGATTATTTCCTCAGTAAACTCTGCTGCTGATCAAGTCTTAGGTTCCCTAGGGCCTCTGTGTCTTTGATTTATGTAGTATTGGAATCTGGTAGCCATGCCCTGCTGGAGTTGGCTTTTCTGCTTGGACAGTGGCTGTGCAGCCTGCTTCAAGAACAGGGATTGAGTCCTGTGTGTCTTTTTCCAAAGCAAAATTGACTGAATAGATCTGTGAACCCAGTAGCTTAACAGAGGACCACATTCTTCCAGTTGCTGGGTTCCTACCTTACTGTGTTTGTTATCTGAATTCTTTGTTGGCTCTTAGCTCCTGAGTGTTATGTTTTAAGTAGACCCTTAGCCCTCCCCCCTTTTGTTCCTTTGTATAGTATGTGTGCATGCTTGCATGAGTGTGTGCCAGGGGATGTTAGGATGTTAGGTGTCCTTTTATAATCACTCTCCACCTTTTCTCTTTGAGATAGGGTCTCTGTCTGAGCTGGAACACTTGTTTTTGGCTAGGTAGTAGCCAGGAAGCCCAGCGGTCCTCTTGTCTCCACCCCACTCAGTATTTGGATAACAAGTATACACAGGACCGTACCTTACGACATGGATGCTGGGATCTGAACACAGGTCCTTGTGGTTGGAAGAGCAAGCACTCTTACCTGCCATACCTCCTTCTTGGACCCTATTTGTTTGGGTTGAGATAAGGTTTTACTATGAAGTCCAGGCTCATGATCACCCTGCCTCAGTCTCCCCAATACCATGATTATAGGCACATAGTACCACACCCAGACCTTTGGTGATTTTTGTTGTTGTTGTATTTGTGGACAGAATCCAAGTCATAGTACTTTAATAGTCTTGGGAGAGTTAGGATGGATCTGTGGTTTTCCTGGTAATATGAAGGTTGGGCCAGACCATTACAAAAGCACAGAAGAGCCACCAGTGGCCTTGGAGTGGATTAAACTGGTGGCAATCTGTACTGCCCTCTATCCTAGCTCTCAAGCCACAGTTTCTTCCCAAAGTGTCTTCCTCCCCCACAGCCTTTCCTGAAGGCCAAAGGGAACCAGTCTGCCTCTGGGAACTCCAGTGTGAGTATCTAGAGCTACCAAAGAAAGGAAGTTTAGAGGAGGCAGTCCTTAGAACCCCACTCAGTAGCCATCTACAAGGTGCTTCTTTTGCCCACAGGCCAAGTACCTGGCCCAGATCATTGTGATGGGTGTGCAGGTGGTGGGCAGAGCTTTTGCCCGGGCCCTGAGGCAGGAGTTCGCAGGTAAGAGTCTTATCTCCTTACATGTTGGGCCTCTGCTTAGGTTAGACTTTCCCTGTGGGTTGTGTCAGTTGTGAATGAACAGATCTCTTTTGGGTGGAGTATTCCAGGCTTAGGTGGCCTGGAGTACTTTCCCATGGTAGGAAGCAGTGCTAGACTTTGAGACATTCCTAGGTACAGGAAAAGCTTATTTTCAGTTAGGCCTGGTTAGAGTGTTGAGGGCCAGCATGCCCTTTTGGCAGCCCATTTTGGTAAAGTAGAACAGTCATACCTGGCTGCTTTCAAGGAGAGCTGAGTAATTCCAACACAGACTAATTGGCTGCAAAGTTAAATTTTACTTTTGATTCTAAGATCACCAAAAGAAACCAGTCACCGGTGGCAGTCTGCTGTGATAGTGTGAGGCATTGGCTAGACCAGTTATGGAGGCTCTGACACCAGCTGTTCTCTTCCCCTGCCTGTAGCTTCAGCCTAGTCCCCAAAGTAGCTCAGAACTCCCCATTGCTAGGCCTCTAGGACAAGCAATGAGGGAAGGAGGAGCAAGGCAGCTTGTGGTCTAGACTGAGGGACCAGGACCAAGAACATGGTTTGGCCTTATCCTATCCTTCAGTATGGAATGTTTGCCACTCCTGGGCAAATTGTTTCTTTCATGTCACTTAGAAGGCCTGGGGGAAGCTTTGGGCCACCAACGGAGCTAAGCAGTCACCCGTGTGTCCACAGCAAGCCAGGCAGCTGCTGATGCTCGGGGCCGTGCTGGGCACCAGTCTGCAGCTGCATCCAATCTCTCTGGCCTCAGCCTCCAGGAAGCCCAGCAGATTCTCAACATCTCCAAGCTGAGCCCTGAGGAGGTCCAGAAGGTGAGGTCCCGTATCTTTGATGGGGTGGTGGTGTGCAGGCAGACAGAAAAGGGCAGGTGTGGAAGCTGACCGCGGGGCGGGGGGTTGCAAAGACCCAGGCAGCACAACTACAGAGACATGGCTGCTAGCTGGAAGCACTGAGCCATTCCCACATGGTTCCCCATCTTTCTCATGTCCTTTGGTCACAGCAGCTTCCTGCTTGATCTGTGGGCCAGAGGCAGCCCTTTAACTTCTCACCCGGAGACTAATGTTCACTGTCCCATCTCCCTGCAGAATTATGAACACCTATTTAAGGTGAATGATAAGTCCGTGGGTGGCTCCTTCTACTTGCAATCAAAGGTAAGTGCTCCTTACTCTATGAGGAAAGGTCACCACAGGCTTCCCCTCCGACCCCGGGGTGCTACTAAAGTTGTTTGAATCCTGGCAGTCCACTGTGCTCTAGGGAGGTTGTTTGAGTCTGGGACAGGAAGGGGAAAGGTCCTCCATTCAGGCAAAGACCAAGAGGCTGTCAGAGCTTGATCTTCCTCCTCCTCCTCTTAGGTTGTCCGTGCAAAGGAACGCCTAGATGAGGAACTCCGAATACAAGCCCAGGAAAACAGAGAGAAAGGGCAGATGCCCAAAACATGACTGCTGGACTCTCCCCACCCTACCCATTGCCTCATAATTTATAGCCTGGTAATAAATGTATTTTCTGTGTTTCTCTAGTGCATATATTCCTATCTGAGGACACTTGCTCACTCCTTGCCTTTTTGGAGCTGTGAGGGAGTCAGGAGGCAGCAGCCTTTGACAGGCTGGTAGGTGAATGTTGGTGAACAGCCACTTTAGAGTAGTAAGCCCAACCAGGGTCTGCCACAGTTGCTCTTATTTGCTCCTGTGCATCCTCCCACAACCCCCTGAGGAAACCAAAGGGTCTGCCTCTGCCTTCCCTCAGGATAAAGGATCCCTGACCCAGAACTTCCAGCTGGGACTGGATAGTGCTCCCACTAGTCAGAATGTTGTATACTGGAAAGCAGCTTTGCCCAGTCTCTTGTAGGCAGCGGCAGAATCTCGAGGCGTAGTTCAGAATACCCACTGTCTCCACCTGCCTACTGTTCAGAGTGAAGATGGCCCATGTCAACCATGGCAGGTTGACATGAAAGCCCCAGGCCAGGCCTTCAGTTGCTTTATTTGGGACACCCATAACCAGGCACAAGCAGGTGACCCAGCTCTTGGCACATCTACTATGCAGAAACCATCTTTGCAACTCACTTTTATTGTTTCTTTATAAACCTCCTCTCACATGGAGGAACATATTGTTATAGTCATTAGCTTATCTCTTTTTGTTTTTTGTTTTTTTTTTTTAAACTCTATGCTAACAGCAATGGAGCCAAAAGGAGGAAAAACATAAGCTACAATAGAAAGGCACTTAGAACCTGTTAAAATACTGATATCCTGGAATGTGCAACAACAAACTGACAATAAGTGTACCGGCCCTTCGAAGCCTGGTCCATCACTGCATCACATGCTGAGCTAATGTCACCTTCCAGTGCCCTGTTCCTCTACTCTTGGGCTTGAGTCTCAAACCCAATTCCCCAGCCAGGGACTTAAGGCCTAGGGCCCTAATAGCCAGGAGGTTGCTTGGATCCTGGGAAGACCCAAAGATAGGAGACCAGCTCCTTAATGTGCTCACAGCCCCTTCAAGGGGTAGAGCCAGCACAGCCAAGCCCTGTCAGGGCTGGGGTCCCGGAGACTAGCAGTTGGGCAGGTCAGGGTGACCCTTCTGAAACAGAAGGGCAGTCTGGGAAAAAGGAGATTAGGCAGAGCTGCTCAGGGGAACCACAGAGCTACTAAGGATCCTACTACCATCCCAGCAGCTTTTTTGTTCTACAGATGGGGAGGTGAGGGGCTCAGCCACTCTGCAGCATAGTACAGGGGACAGCAAGAGGCCCAAGTTGGGGCATCTAGTCTTTTGGAGCTGTGGAGCACATAGTCTTCCAATGCCCCTGGCTTATTCTAGCTCCGCGTAAGTGCTACCTTATTCTGAATAGCACAAGCTCTGGGGTAGCTGGCTTGGGTAGATCTCATGGGCAAAAGAGAGGCACCACCAAGAAAAGGGCTCAATTGGAAAGTCAGAGGAAACAACCTGTCACATGACTGGTCCTCTCTCTAGCCAGATTTTCCCGAGCAAGAGAGTCGGTTCTCTAAATGCCATGTTTGGCTGCCTAGGTTCCCTCACACCCAGGGGCTTTATTTAGTTTGGGGTTTCTAGAAAGCTCCTTTCCAATGAGTCAGTCCTTCCCTGCGTTCCATGACTTCGCAGCCCCCAAACCTGCAGCTGTTTCCCAAGCCTGGTAGTTCTCTAGTGTAGACGGATGCCTTGCAGGCTTCTGCAGGATAGCACTGCCCAGGCCAAACCAAGCTGGACCAGACCAGTACAATGATCCTTTAAACCTGCTTGCAAATTCCCAAGGAAAGGTAAGTGGTCAGCGGCCCCTCCTCTTTGGAAAGTGTTGCCAATCTTCTGGCAGTGCTGATTCTGGCAGGAAGGAGAGAGGACACTGACAGAGCAGGCTTCTCTGCTAAGCAAGCAGGGAAGCACCTTGTCATAGCAGTAGAAAGGGAAAAGATAACTTTTTCCTGTGGCTTAGCCAGGACCTGTGTCTGTCTTGCTCTCCCTCCGTAGAGTGGGCCAGAGGGAAAGGGGTCTAAGGAGTTCCCAAGCATGGGCCTATGATCATTGGTTGGGGCTCCCCAGTTGACATGTAGGTAAGGCAGGGAAGAATGGCAACCTGCCCAATCAAGCTGGTCATGGAGTGGACTGCACCAGAGCAAGAGGAGGACAGGCAGAGGAAGGCCTCACCCAGACTATGGACTAGAGAAGTGGAAGTGAGTGAGGCCTTAGCACCCAAGAGCCTAGCCCTTCTTGAACAGCAGGTCCAAGCCAAGCCCTCACTCTGGAGCCAGGAAGCCTGCAAAGCCCTTCTAGCACCATCCTTGCCACCTCAGCTTGTCTGGGCCTGCTGCTTCCCAGGGAGCAGACACTGGGCCTGGGGCAGTAGAATATTATTGCTATTTCGCAGAAGAGTTTCTGTTCGTCAGGGATGAGCCCACAGTAGGTGGCTGGGCTATCACAGCTGGTAGGTGGGTAGCCCAGTTTCAGTTTACCACAGCTGGTTTGAGCAGCACAGACCCTGGTGGGATGACCACCCAGCCAGGAGTTAGTGCTTCTGGACTGCTGGCTGCCGAGTTGCCCGTGGACAGGTCCAGTACAGTGCCCGGTAGCAAAGGGAGGCCATCAGGGCTTGGCCGAGAGCGGCTGCGCTCCGTCCTTTCCAGGGGAGTCTTTTGGTCCTCCAGGCCCAGGACCCTGGCAGGCACTGACCCACGACCTTTCTCCCCCTCAGCCTTGCTACCAGCAGAGCCACCCAGGAGAGAGACCACAGGCAGGCCTAGTCCACCAGCCCCAAAGGGTGAGGGCAACAGTGGGTTCTTGGCCAGATTGAGGGGCAGAACAGAGCCTGGCAGCCCAGGACCCATGCCCCCACCCCCACCTCCGCCATTGCCACAAGCCAGAGCACTGAGGTCAAGGGGGCCAGGGGCCAAGGGTAAAGGCAGGCCAGGCAGACTGGGGCCTCCAAAAAGGGCAGCGGGGTTGGGGATGATGATCTGAGCTCCACTGACATAGGAGCCACTGTCAGGGGTGGGCAGTGGTGGCTTGGGGGGTGGGCGCAGCTGCAGGAGCTCCTGCTGCTCTTGGGACACAAAGTGGCCGTGGGCTTTGATGTGCTTGCGCAGTGAACTGGGGTCCGTGTAGCGCTTGTGACAGCCGGGCATCTTGCAGTAGTAGGGCTTGTCTACGTAGTGGGTACGGGTGTGCTTGAAGCGGTCACTCGAGTTGGAGTAACGCTTGTTGCAGCCCTCGTAGGGGCAGACGTAGGGCTTCTCACCTGTAAGGGTGGGCTGCAGTGAGGGGTGGCAACTCTGCCAGGTCTTTCCACCTATCCCCTTGCCTCTCCCAGGCCCAGAGCTCCTGGAGCATTCTGACCCTGATTTAGGAGACAACCAACTGCACCCAGCAAGGAGGCTGAGCCAACAAAGGACAGCAGGCAGGATTCGGCCTGAGGAAGCTGCAGCTGTGCTTGGGCCTCCTTGCTGTGCATCCTTCAGATTCTTTGCTATAGATCCTGTTGTTGGGCAGAACATGACCTTGAAGTGTTTCCTCATGCAGGCCTGGCCCTGGTAAATTCTAACAATGCTGCCTTGCTCTTAAATGTTGCCTTGCTTAGAACTGCTCAGTTTTGTTTTTGAAGACAGGTATCTCTGTGTAGCCCTGGCTGTCCTAGAACCAATCTGTAGAGCAGATTAGCCTCGAACTCAGAGATCTGCCCGCTTCCCAAGTACCAGGATTAAAGTGTGCACCATGGTACATGGCTTGGATCACAGAGTCACTATGCTGGCCAGGACAGGAGCCACCTGAGCCACTCAGCCTTTGAAATGGGGCTGGGCCCAAAAGGAGATGCTATGCTGCTAAAACATACTAGATCTCAAAGACTTTGTATGAAAGGAGGGCGTTCCGTGTTCTGCTGTTTTGTTCGTTGTTTCTTTTTTTGTTTTTTGAAATGGGGTCTCATTATGTTGTCCAGGGTGACCTTGAACTCCTGAGCTCAAGTGATCCTTTCCCTTCAAGTTCCCAATTATTTGGAGGTACAGACATTAATCACCATGCCCAGGTTTGCTGGCATTTTTAAAATATTAAAAGAACTATATTATATATATAACATATACACATATATATGCATACACACATTTATATATTGGGTTTCGTAGGATAAATAATTATAATTTCACCTATTTCCTTTTGCTTTTTATTTTATTTTTAGGCATGGTCTCCCTACATAATTCTGGCTGGCCTGGAACTTGCTACATAGAACCAGGCCTTGAATTATCAGAGATCTCCCTGCCTCTGATTCTCAAGTACTGAGATTAAAGGTGTGTGCTTACCATGCCCAGCTTTGCTCTTTTTAATGTAGTAATTAAGTAACTTAAAATCACATGTGTGGTTCTGTAGGGCCCAGGGCAAAATGAGGAGACAGAGCCAGTCTGCCAGTGTCAGATGATCACACCCATGTAAGGTGTAGTCCCTAGCCTGTGACTTTCAAGGTGCTATGAAAACCACACCTGTAATCCCAACACTTGGGAGTTGAAGGCAGGAGGACTGGAGTCCTTGGTCATCATCGGCTACATAGGGAGAAGCCAGCCTGGGCTACATGAGACCCTGTCTCAAACAAGGAAAGCAGGGTATGAACAAAAGATTTGTTCCTCTTTTCGGTCTTTCCCTGCAGTCTCCTACCCCTCGATGAGAGGCGTACCTGTGTGAGAGCGGTTGTGGATCTTCAGGTTTTCCAAGCGGGAGAAACTCTTGTTACAGGTGGGGCATCGGTGTGGCTTCTCATTGGTATGAGTCCGGATGTGGATGAGCATCTTGTACCTGCTCCAGGGAGGGTCCAGGGGCACACTTAGCTCGATGGGCACCCAGCCCCTCCCTTCCTGCCCTCACCCTGCTCCCTCACCTGGCATTGAAGCCACGGCCGTGGCGGGCACAGCCCTCCCAATGACAGCAGTACCGAGCATCCTGTTCCGGCTTGACGTGATGGTCATTGACATGGTCGACCAGGTCTTGGAGGAGCTCAAAGAGCTGGTTACACTGTGGGGCCAGGCAGGGTTCTGAGCCCAAGTAGGGTGCTGGCCCAGCCCTAACCATTCTTCCCAGCCCCCACTCACCTTGGCCCATCGACACACCAGCTGCTTGGCTAGGGGCAGCTCTGGTGAGAGGCACTTGTCCTTGGGGGGTGTGAGGAATGAGGAGGCAGGTAGGTGCAGAGCCCCCCCAGAGCCCAGGGGCAAGAAGAACTGAAAGGAGCTGGGGACACCATCCAGATATCGAAGTGGCTGGAAATCCTAAGGAGTAAGAATAAGGGCCAGTTAGTTTACCCCACTGGGAGGCCCAAAGGCTCCCTCTTGCCCCTGTGGACTGTTAAATTATATCAATACAGCCATAAATTATTACTAACATAGCTAAATTGTATCAGTATGGCACATGCCTTTAATCCTAGCACTTGGGAGGCCGAGGCAGGCAGATCTCTGAGTTTGAGGCCAGCCTGGTATGGAGGGAGTTACAGGACAACCAGGGTTATGTAGAGACACCTTGCCTTAAAAAAAAATCAACCCAAAAGAAAAGACAAACAGAATTGCTAATTCATGGCGTCTGCATATATGAGCTTGTTTGGAAACTGTCTATTCAGAGGTAATTAGTTAAGGTGAGGGCCTACTGGAGTAAGGTACCCCTAAACCCAACATCTTATGTCTTTATGACAAAGAAGAGGGAAGCCTGGACACAGACACACACAGGGGAAAGGCCAGCTAAAGATGCAGCAGAGACAAGGGATGCAGTTACCAGCCTGGGAGTGAATGCTAAGGATTAGTGGCCCCAGGATCTCGAGCGGCAAGGAAGGGAAGGAGCATGGCCCTAGCACCACCTTTACTTCACAGTTCTGGAACTGAGAGAATTCCTTTCTCTTGTTTTCAACTGTTCAGTTTGATAGCACTTGTCAAGGAGTCCCAGGAAGCCAGTACCCCCTCTCTCTGTAACCTGCCCCTCCTTACCACAGCAGTAGGCAGTGGAGGGAGGTCCCCATTGCCCTGGCGCTCAGGGGACAGGGAACTGCTGCCATTGGGGGAGTCCAGTCCAGATGGTGGTGACAAGCTGAGGTCCACCAGGGGGGCTGTGGAAAAGCGTCCGTCCACCTTCTCAGGGAACTTGGGGTTCAACAGGAAACCTGAAGAAGATCATGTTTCAGGAAAACTAGCTAGAGTCCTGCTGGACCAAGTCCCACCACCTCAATCCAGAGGTAGTGATCCACCATCTTTGACTACTCTGGGACCCCAGATATCCAAGAAACAGGACAGTCACAGTGGACATGACCATCTTGTCTTTCCTTCACCAGGGAGCCCAGCTAGCTTCCAAAAACAGGAAATCAATTTTATACCTTGGTGGTTCATACCTGTAATCACAGGTACTCAGGAGGCTGAGGGAAAAGGATCAAGAATTCAAGGCCAACCTGGGCTACCTAACGAGTTCATTGCCAGCCTACACAAGACCATCTCAAAACAGAGAGTCAGAAAACTCTTAAGTACCCATCTTAGAGATGAGACATATCTGCCCCATGGAATAACAGTAGACTTGGAACTGGAACACAAGACTATTTGACTCCCTGTCATGTTCTGCCTCAGTGTTCCCTTCTGTAAAATGGGAAAATTGGGATGAGCTGACTTTTCTGTCCAAGCACACGGTAAAACTGGTTCTCGGGTCTATTTGAAGGTATAACAAATGAGGAGAATATACTAGGCATGAGTACAAAGCACCTTTAAGACACATTTGCCTGCTTCTGTCCCCACCCAGTTTAACCAGCCATATAACCTCAGAGTGCAGAGATATAATCCTGGGATTTTTGCTGCTGCTTTTCCCCTTCTACCTCTTTCCAGATCCTTCAGCAGGCTCTGGTTGGAGCTAGTTCTGTGTGCCCGCTGTGTGATTGGGCAGATCTCATCTACTTAAAGGATGCATGGACAAGAATGAAGGCTTTCTTAACTGGGACCTGTGGCTATCTCCTCCTGGACACACCTTGGAGCAGTCTCATCTGAGACCCCAGCCCTGACTGTTGCAGTACCTGGAGGGGGGGAGCCTGGGGAGCCAGGTGTGGGGCTGTCGTCCACCAGGCCCAGCTCCCTATGCAAAGCATGATGCCGGACCACACCCAGGGTCCTCTCTCGCTTCTCTCTCGCAGCCCGGAGCTTGGTGATGCTCAGCTTTAGGTCAAGCGGCTCGTCCAAGGAGTGCATGGTGATGGGGATGTTAAAAACAGTACCCAGCTGGTCTTCAGGCAGGAACCTGGGGAAGGACACAGGTTGTGTAGTGACACTTTAACCTCAGGGCTCTCCTTCAGCTATATCCACTAAAACTGTCAGGGTCAGGGGAGGAGAGACAACGCTCTGAACGGCCTAGCTCACAGGTATCCTGAAGAGTCGACTGCCACATACTCACTGCACTGCCACTCTCCATGAGCCTTTGGGGACGGCCCAAGTTCATGGTCTCCATTTAACCATGAGAGTAAGTGTTAGAGACTGTCCCAGTCACAGAATCCACAATCTGGCAGAACAGCTAGATTTGAAGCTTCGTCTCCCAGGAACTAGCTGACTAAGCCCCAATGGGAAGCTATACTTGGGAAGCCCACCAGTCTGAACCCGGAGACCTAAAAGCAGGCCAGTAATAGCATGCATCCTCCAAGGTGTAGTAGTAGCCCTCAGCAATCAGTTAAGCACCCACTGTGCCAGACAGAAGTGCTTGTTTAGGGCAGGGAGCTACATCACCTCCAAGGGAAACAGGCTGAGGGCCACTCCCAGGCGGGCTGCACAAAGCTTGGCCACGAGAGTGAGTGGTGAGTGAATAAGCTAGGGCAGACCCTCCCAGGTAGGGCAAGGCCTTCACAAGCCCTCAGGAACCACTGGGCTTTAGCTACCACCAGGGGGCAGCTGGAGACCGTGTCCAGCTCTGCAGGACCAGCAAAGGACAGTAGATAGTATTCAAAAAGGAAAAAGTGGTAATGACATTTTCACGACTTCATACTGTGACACTCCTTTTTGTACTTCTCACTAGTATGATCTTCACAGATACAAATGGACTCCTCATAAGCATTACTGAGCAAGAAAAAGCTAACCCTTCCACATCAAACACTTCACTTTCCAGCAAGTCTCTCCACCCGTGAGAAATCTCCCACTTGTTTCCTGGCCTTTGTTCAGACAGACTGTCACACCTTGAATTTTTTTTTTTTTACTAAACAACCACACTGTGAGACTCTACCACTGTATCTTACACAGGTGGACGTGGCAGGAAAAACCACTACCTGGAAAAATACATGGAGCAAGCAGTTTATTGAGTGTGTCTTTGGGGGCTTGTGGGACCTATGTGGACCCAGAGCGGCTGAAGTGCCCTTACAGGGCTGGAGCAGAAAGGGCAGCCACACCTATCTGGTCCTCACTTGCCAGCTTACCTCCTACAAACACCAAGCTGCACTGGTAGTCCCCAGGTACACAGGCCTGGGGACTGTGAGCTCGTGAGGACATATCCCCGCCTCCCACTACATGTGGCTACATGGAATCTGGGCACACAGGGCTGTATCATCGGAGCACAGGAAGGCCCTCTTGACTGTGAGAGTCAGGTCTGCAACTTGCCCCCACTGAGCTGTCTGATGTGCTTGTCACTGCTCAGGCCATGCTTGGACCAGAGGCACTCATTGATACCCTAGTGACCAGGGCACCACCTTCGTAGGAGTCCCAGACCCAGGTAGGTGGTGGGGAGGTGACAGTGATAGGTGGCCTTGAGCCTGCTCATCCATTCCTGTCTAGGCAAAGGCTGCCCTCTGCCTGACCTATATAGCGCGTTATGTCTGTCTGTCTGTCTCTCTACCTGTTTATTTTTAGGCACAGGCCTAGTCCAACCTCCCTGAAGCTCCTCTGTGCTGGGAGCCTGGAACGGGAGGAAGGAAGTAAATATTTATGCTGATTAAGAATTCAGGAGCCAGGAAGGGCTGGTGGCCTGGTCCTTCTTCTGGCCCAAGGCCACAAGCCTCCCTGCCCCCAACACCCACCGTGGAGAAAAGACCACTGGCAGGTTGCCTGAGCTAGAACAGAAAGTCAAGCTCTGACAAAGCCAAGTAGTAGCCTTTGGCACCTGCTCCTGTCTCATCTCCTCCCACCAGAGGGAGCCTAGGAGGAGCCACTGTCTGTTACCTGGTTCAAAGGACCTCCAGGGAACAACAGCACAGTGTTCACCTAGGACTGGAAAAGCCCCAGCAGAAAAGGGGACTCCAGTGACTGACCCTTCCCCCCTTAAGCAGACCTAGTCTCCAGGGACACCCCTTCACTTCCTGTCCCTGGGTTCTGCCCAGGGAGGTAAGGGCTCATTCTTGGAAGCCAGAATCCAACCCAGGCGCCGCAGCCCCTCCTGGGAAAGGAGGAAGGAGCCGCCCCAGAGTTTTGCTAGTTTTCCTACCCACAGCCCCCAGGGAGTAGCAGGCCTATGACCCCAACTCATGCACTAACCTTGGCCAGCCTCAAAGTCCTCTCCCACTCCTATTCCCAGCCAGAAGCAGCCAGCCTGGGCTCAGCTTTGCTTTTTGTTCCAGAGCTAAGTGAAAGGAGCAGGTGAGAGGCAGGTCCCCAACTCTTCTAAAGGCCATCGCAGCTCAGCCCTCCAAAGCTGGCCCTGTCAGCACCAGCCAGACTTAAATGCCAGGAACAAGAACAGCCGGGGGATGTGATCCTAGGAAAAGTGAAGCCACCTAGTCAAGACTGCTGCTTGCCCTTAGAAGTCAGGAGATCTGGAAATCAATGGACCTCCAGAACCCGATGATCTCCCAGTGTTCACAGGCACAGTGTCAAGGGCCAGGGAACACAACAGCCCACAGACAAGACTATCCCAACCTTGCTGGAGAAACCGCCAGGGCCTCAGTTTCCCTTCTGGTCAGATGGCTGAGTGTCTCACACTCTGTCCTGGCAGTGGAGCTGTAGGCTGCGCCTTGGAGCTACTCCTGGTAGGCTGGGCGTGCCCATCGACACACCCACCTGCAAGAGCCTGCACCATGGAGGTGCTGGCGGACCGGGACCTTCAAGGCTCCTCCAGCTGCAAAAGGAACTAATTAGAGCAGAGGGAGCTGGAGGAAGCAGCAGTGAGGGAGGAAGCACAAGAGGGGGCGGCACAGAGACCACCAGGATGGCAGGGGTGGGGACAGCCCTCCCACAACCCAGGGCGGGGGGTCACCCTGAGGGTGGGCTAGGCGCCTCCCGCCTCCGGCCAGCCGTGCCAAGACAATGACTGCTATTGTGCGCCTGCCTGCAGACCCCGCACAGACGGTCCCCAGCTGCAGCTCCTACAGGGCACCCAGCCCCTATAGACCTGTATGGGCCACCATCCCTCCCTCTTGGGGAAACTAAGCTTCAAAGTCACCAAGCTAAGAAAAGAGGACTAGATTCTTGCTCAGGATGAAGTCCTTTCCTTCCCTGCCAGAGGCAGGCATGCGATTGGAGAGGTAGAGAGGGAGGGCTACCCGTGCTAACTAACAGAGACTGAGTCCCTGGCAGAAGTTTAACAAGGACCTCATCAAGGTGGGGTGCCACCTACCTCACAGCAGTGTGGCTAATGTGATGAACATCCCCATTTAAACAGGGGTAGTCTTGAAACTGCTATAACACGCACACACACACACACAGACTCAAGATGAACCTCTGCACGCAGTCAGTCCTGGTGGCACATGCCTATGATACCAGCACTTGGGAGATGGAGGCAATTAGATCAGTGATCCAAGACTAGCTTCAAAGCTGCACACACCACTATGTTAAAACCAAGCTTGTGAGGGACTGGAGAGATGGCTCAGAGGTTAAGAGCACTTCTTGCTCTTCTAGAGATCCTGAGTTCAATTCCCAGCAACCACATGGTGGCTAACAAGGCCTGGTGCCCTCTTCTGGTGTTCAGGTGTACATGCAGACAGAACATTGTGTACATAATAAATATATCTTTAAAAAAAAAACAACAACAAGCTTGTGGTGACACACGCCTGTAATCCCAGCGCTCAGGGAGGCAGAGGCAGGCAGATCTCTGTGAGTTTGAGGCCAGCCTGGTCTACAACTACACAGAAAAACTCTGTCTCAAAAAAAAAAAAAAAAAAAAAATCCCTGGTTTTTTTTTTGTTGTTGTTGTTGTTTGTTTTTGTTTTTGTTTTTTTGTCTGTCAGCAGCCAGGCCCTGATCTGTGAGTATCTCCAAGCCTGGTAACATGGACCATCAGTCTAGCACTCTGGTCTTACAGAGCAGGAATATGAAGGCTGGGGGGAAGCTCCTGCCCCAGGTGGCAATCATGGGTGGCAATATCAAAACCAAAGCCGTGCATGTGACTGTCCCAGTGACTGCCTTAGCCAATGGCTGACAGTCCAACATGCCAACATTTGTTACAGCAGGTAACACTTCACCCCACTTTATAGATGCAGAAACTGAGGCTCAGAAAAGTGAGCCATCCTAGGTCACAGGTTTTGTCTGACAAGGAGCTTATCAGCCCCTCCTGGACTTGGCTGACATTGGTCACCACCTCCCCACCCAGAGGGATTGTGGAGCTAGGTGCAGAACCCAGGAAAGGCAGAAGGGCAGCGGTGGGTAGGCGTGGAGGGAATGGCAGGATGGGGGCCCACCAGAAGGCTGGGAGCGCTGAGGGCAGCAATGCTGCCAAAGCAAATGGCCCATAACCCCACATTCCTGGGAACCGGCTGTGCTCCGTATTCTGGCCAAGAGCTCCACCCTCCTTGGCCGACCAGGGAGGCAGACTGGAGGGCAATGGCAGGGGAAGACTCTCTCAGCCCCCTTCCCAACCAGGCAGCAGGCAGGGTTCCAAACAAGGGTCAGACCACAGGGAGCCCCAACCTTCTGCTCTGCTGCTTCCTGCCACGTCCCCTGACCTGGCTGAGCTGTAATGTTCAACACACAAAACAGACAGACACACAGTAGGCACTTGATAAAATCCGTCCTGTCACCACTGCTCAAGTGCCTACCCTGTAAGAACAGCTCTGAGAACTGGCCCTCCAGACCAGAACTCTGGAGAGCCTTGGACCTCTATTGTCCTGTGCTGTGACCACAGAGTTAGGAGGGCACCCTCCAGGGGTGAGGCCTCCCTGCGGAGCCAGACAGCACTAAGAGGCCCTGGAAGGAAGGTGCAGTGGGGACAGAAACCTTCCAGGCCTAGGGAAGGGGCCAGAGCCCCTTGACTTGGTGAAAGGGCTTGGAGTTTGCCCTTCCTGGAAACCCACAACTACATGCAGCCAATCCCAAGAGGGGCACCTAGCCGGCACACACAGCACCTCAATAGAAACTCAAATGTCCCCCAGACAACCAGTCCAGATCTGAACTCTTCTCTGCCAGAGGGCACTAGGGACTGGCTGAGGATACAGCTTGCAGGGAACTTGACTATGGCAAGTTCACAGAGCAAAGCCAGCCTCCTCTGGCTGTGTGACCTCAGACAGGTCCCTGTCACTCTGTCCACAGGGCAGTTTTCTCATTGGTAGCTTAAGCACAATAGTGAGCCTAGATATTCAGGACATCCTATAGGATGAGCCCTGGCCTAGTAGTGCCTGCCACACAGAAGATGTGGACAATGCTAGTAAACAGTAGCCCAAGGGTCCTCATTTGTGCCCCAGGCTGGGGGTGACCCACACAGTGAGTCTACCAAGGTCATCCAGAGCAGAAACTAAAAGGCCAACAGGTTTGCTCCTCCTGTACCCCTCTCATCAGCGCCACCATAGGACCGTCCTCGTCCCAGACCGGAAGGATGGGTGACAAGGGCCCCGAGAGCCTGGACATACACTCATGCAAACGTGTGGCCCTCCGGCTGCAAGGTCTGTCCAGCCCGGAGGCCTCCAAATGTTCTGGTGGCTCTAGGCCCCCTTCTCAGGCCCCCACCTCCTGCTGCCTGCCCGCCTGCAGCCACCTTTGCACAACTATGTCTGGTATTTTCCTGTCTGCCCAGCTTGGGGGGGGGGGGCATGGGG